TATATATATATATACATTCTAGAATAATCTGGCTGTAGATTTTATTAACGGATACTCCGACGACCAACCTTTCCTCATGGTATTAGCACCTCCGGCCCCTCACGCGCCTTTTACACCTGCTGATAGACATAATGACAAATACAATGGCACAAAAGCAAAGAGAACCCCGAACTTTAACGTTCCCGTGCATCAGGTATAGCATCGTACACGCTAATGATTATATATCAGATATTTCTCTTGAAATTATCTGGTATGTATAATTTTTTTATTTTTTAAAAATAGGATAAACATTGGTTAGTTAGGAAAGGTCCAACTCCTTTGCCAAGCAGTGTATTACCAAAATTGGATGAGATATACAGGAAGAGATGGGAAACTTTGTTAGCGGTCGATGAGCTCGTTAAAAATATACACAATTTATTGAAAGAGCGAAATCTCTTGAACGATACCTATTTTATTTATACCTCCGACAATGGATATCACGTTGGTACGTGATTCGATAATATATCCCAATGTTAAAAATTAAACGAAGCACAGGCAGCGCACGTCAAAGCACAAATGATCATTAGATTCGCAACTTTGTCTTTTATAGTCTCGAAGATATCGAAAAATTCTCAGCTAATAACTAAAAAAAAAAAAACCAACAATAACAGCGCTAAAAGCTATTAAATATATAAATATGAATTGTTTATTTTATAACCATAATAATTATATTTACGCGACGAGATGGTTTTTTGTGTTGTGTGCTATGCTTAGGTCGCGCGTCTCCAATAGTAGATATTTAAATTTTGCTAATTTTAAACTAATTTTAAAAACAATGTTAATTTTTTAAATTATATATTTTCAAGAAAATAAATGATAATATATATTTATAAGTTTTTTAACGGATCTTTTATAAAATTGTCTATACAAGACGTGCATTATTTCGATAGGACAATTTAGCATGCCCATGGATAAGCGTCAACCCTATGAAACAGATATACGAGTTCCATTACTGATATCCGGTCCAGGAATTGACTCGTCTACAATTTCCGCGGCAGTTAGCAGCGTCGATATCTTCGCCACGCTCTTAGATATAGCCGGTATAGAATATCCATCAGACGGAAGAACGCTGTTTAAAACAACGCGTGATTTACCGCAAGATCGCACTGTTCTGATAGAATACAGGGGAGAGAGATCTAAAAAGACCCCGTCGTCCGGTTGTCCGAGCGACAGCGATCCTAATATTACAGTAAGTTTCAAATATTTAAATTCTAAAAAACTATTTTCTTTCGAATTATGTACATTAATCTCGTTGTATGATATTGTAGCTATGCATGAAAGAAATGGCGTGTAAATGTCAGGATGCTGTGAACAATACGTTCAGTTGTATTCGTCGCGTTTCTCCATACTTCAATAACATCTTCTGCATCTTTGAAGATGATCAGGTATTACCTGTAGATTTATATACGTATATTATGCTTTTTAAACATCTTGAAAACATTTCGCATTGAAAATTTTCATCATTTTTTCCAGAGATTTATCGAATCTTACGATATATACGTTGATAAGTATCAAATGACGAATATTGGATATACTATGAAGAAAAAATTGAGATCCAGATTCAGGAAACGTCTCAAGAGAATGGCGGTATGTCAGAATGCGGAATGCGTTTTCACATTTGGGAAGTAAATTTGAATAATATTACATACCGTTTCTATACATGTATATTTATGGGAAATTATTAATGTCTTATAAAGATACGATTTATTTTATTTTTTTTTACTGTAATAAAGATCGCGCGCTATGATATAACGTCTCCGTCCGTTCTAGATCGCGGAAACAAGAGCGCGGAAAGTTGTCTTATCTCGAATTATTGCATTTATGGAAATCGCCGTCGAAGAATACGCCGCGAATCTGGATATAAGAATAACTCGCCTTGCTCGAAGGAGGAGGGCAGCATCCCTCCCCAACGGAGAACTGTTTTCTTAACAAATATTTTTATTAAAGCCCCGCGGAGAGATAGAGAGAGAGAGAGAGAGAAAGAGAGTCTCGAATATTTGAATAGCAATAACGGTATTCACGAAAGTAAAGGGAAGAGGAGGAAAGGACGATGTGGAAAAAACCGAGCATTGAAGACAGAATCGAGACTATATTAGACATGTACATATTTGCATATATTATTATTGCTAAAACATTTCTGATTTCTCCGCGGATTTGTGACGATGCGTGCGAAAAACGATTCTTTACTCGATATACTCCGGCTCGTTCGCACTATTATTTTACACATGTAAGGATTATAAGTATCTTATGGATATCAAAATTAGTAAACGTATATATTGAGATAATATTGCAGATATACGGTTGTTATATTAAATATATAAATAATCAAAAGGAATTTAGGATCTTTACAGATAAAAATATCTCAATATGTTTACAGTTTTTAGTTTTATTACATATATATTTTGCTTTTGATTTTATATGCGACATATAGGCAGGAAATAAAAGCGTGTATCTTTTGGTTGCTCATACAAAGGGTTAAGTATTCGCGCATGCATGGATATTCTTCACGAAAGTGCGTATACGATGAGGTCAGCGAGTGCCGACGCACAAAGCATCGTGGGTTCGCCCCTTTCAGTGTCAAGGAGCGTGAGAGACGCTCTTTCACGTAACGTGAATGAACGTCAAAATGTTTGTAGACTAGCCGGGCCCATGGGCCCGTTTAATCGTTTGCACAGATGGCATTACGGCGAATCTAGCGGCCGCGTGCGCGATAGATCGCCTTTGGGATTATCGTTGGCAAAGTTGCGGCGTGGCCGACAAAACCGAGAGGAAAACTGGGACTTATTCCGTAAGATTTGCATCTTGCGATCTCTCGGTGAAAAATAAATGAGTTAAAGTGATGAATCGCGAAAGGAATTTGTGCTGCGTGAAATTTACGAACGGTTCATCTGTTCGTTCAATTTATTCATTAAATTTAAGGCAATCAATTCATATCGATTTTTATAATGATTGCATAACCTGATTTGAGAAATCTCACGGCAATTCCGCAGTATAAACTCCTATAAATTTTTATTTTTTTGTATTTTTTGCAGAAAGTTTATCTTTTATCTCTTAAAAGTTAATCTTTAACAAGTTAATTGCTCGAAGAGCAGACTGACGAAAAGTAGATATCGTTAGAGTTTGCGATAATTATTTCTTCATTAATATATATATTTCATTTATATTATCTAGTAATGGTTTATTCTATTCAGTTTATAATCTACATGTAACTCAGTTGTATTTCTGACAGCGACGCACGCGCGTGCATGTAGCCGATGCTATTGCACGAGAGGATTTTCCGGATCCTCGATCGATCGCTCGATTGGGCGTTTAGTGATCTTCGTTACATCGTTGCTGAGACGTGTAAGTCGGCTTGCGGACGAATTCTTTTATTCTCTTATTCTTTATTGATCATTCGAGCGAGCGATCGCCTCCTTGTTGGCCAGGATCAATGGCTTTCGTTACCTTTCGAGCCGTAGATCCAGGCTTTACTTTTGGGGCCCCTCCCTTCGCTCCTTCTCTCCCTCTCCTCTTTAGCGGGGGGTTTCTTCTTCTAGCGGATATTTATGCCAACTTGCATTCGTACCGCGGAAAGGTTTACAAAAGGTATCAATCTCTCGTGAAAAATGTATAAAGATTACAAGATAATGATATGAGTTTGTTAAAAACTTTATAAATACACGCAAGATGTGTATAGTTTAATTATGACTATTAACTTGCAATTTCGTGGAAAGTATATCGTGTAAATCCATTCTTAATTTCTCTCTCTCATCTTAATCTTTTAGTTTTTATTCGCTCTTAATTAGCCACTTTGCATCTAAACGCTAAATGTCAATCGCAATTATTTTTATGCATTATTATATAATATAATAATATCATCGATATATTATATAATAATAAAACGATTGGCGATTTGTCATTGTACTCTACGATGATAGTTGCAGGATCTCGTTCTCTTAAGATCGAAAATCGCGACGTTCGTCGGGCGCATTAAAAACTAAACAATTTACAATCTCGAGAGTTTTCCAATGATCTGTCTTCAAACGGCATCCCTTGTTATTCGATAATTAACCTTTCCCCCTTGTAACCCGGCGCACGGGGCGAAACGAAGCGTGCCCTCTGATTTTCCTTTGCCTTGACTCGCGCCTCCTTCTCTCCGCGACTTCGAGATCGGTAACGCGGAAAATGCGAATTTACTGTAAATTAGTGAATTGGAAAATAACGGAGTAAAAGCGCGCTTCCTTTGACGGGTCTTATGACGATCGCGTTGAACGCGTAACAAGATCCCGGGAGAAGCTAAAACGGCGAAATTGCCGGAGCTCGTCTTAATAAACGGCAACTATGAGAACGATGAATCTTTAAAATCAGCTTAATCGATATTTTCCGGTCAAAGGATAAATGTATTACAAATCTAAACCTTTTCTCAAAGTTACAAGGGACATATCAAGTCTATTCTTTAAAATTCAAAGAAAACTAATTCGCATCAACTTGCTCGGCATGTTTTAGATTTAGAGGATACCGTTACGATCACGAATATATACGACCATCGGCTAAATATAGCGTTACTCAATTTTCCGCGCGCGATACCAAAGATACAAGCAGGGCGCGTCCTTTAATTATCCGATCCATTTCTGCATAACGAGAGGAACACGAGACCGGCGAAATGAAACTCGCATTACCGGTGACGGCTTATACGAACTACAGTAGTCTAATCAAACACGGAGCTATTAACCGGGTCAACATTTCGAGTTTGGGGTACTTAGTGCCAAAGACTGCTATGCGGTACCCATGTCAATGACGCACACACGCACATGCACGTACTTGACGCACACACGCACACGCAATACGCCGAGTTCCACGGCGAATGAGTAGCAAAGCGGCCGTGTCGACGGCCTTAAATAAATATCTAATGTGCACAACCCCGACCGAATCCCCCGCTCGCCCCCTCCCCTTCCTCCCCGCCAATATTGTTTTAGGCACGGCGAGGCTTCGAGTTTTGTAACTCGAGAAACGAGCGCGAGTCTCGCGTATACAGCAGCGAGAAGACGACACAATAGCTGGGTGTTCCAAGATCTCGTCAAGTACTTAAGTTCGCGGATACCGCTGCTACACGAGGAGCACCGGCTTCCCCGATTCTGAGTAAATTCATCGCGAGGAAAATGTTCGGGATACCAATAGTTTGGGCGAAGTTTTATAAGCGACTTTACTCCCTAAAAATAAGCTTCAAGGATAAAAAAATTTATTCTTGGAATAATTTTTTTTTTTATTGTTCCTTAAGTCTTAGCAAAATTCTATGATTTGAGTTATATCGATCGCAAATTTAAAACTGAATGTTTAAAAAACTATTTAAAGGATGAGAGAAATTTTAGCTTTTTTTTTTTTTTTTTTTTTTTTTTTAAGGAAAAAGGAACGGGGAGGGGAGTTTCATAATTATATCACCCGATCGCGATAAACGATATGGATGATTTATATTGATAGCAGCCGAATTACATTCTCGAAAGCGCGATAAAACGTTAATGGGATGCGTAAGCGCTTTCTTGGAAGGCTAATCTTTTTTATAGAGAGAATCGACAGGTCAGGGAATTCGTAAATAAAGGCACGGGAAACTCGAGATGTTTAGTACACTGTGCTCTGATTTTACTCTACAAAACTCTTTCGGTCTCGTAACTCGCAGCTGCTACTTCTGTAGCGCTCATTTATTATGAAAAATGCTACTTTGCTTGCGAAAAGTATTTCTTCAAAGAAAATCACGCGAACATAATTCGCGTAATGCCATTCGCGCGCTCGAAAATGCGCTTTTTTAAAGTCCAATGCATTTTTCACACTTACGCCGCTTCAATTTTGTCTGAAATTAGTCCGTGATATCTATATAGCGAAAAAGCTCTCGTTGATAATGTCAATGTCAGGGAAAAATATCGCGATTCGATATGCCTCCGTGCGCTTTTCTTTTCAGACTCTCAGTCTACTTTAGCTCTAGCGTTTGTCGCGGAGAAATAATTAATTAAGAGTAGAAGACTCGCACACTAGGCACGCGCACACGTAGACACAAACACATACACATACACAATCTTTTTCTTTCTCTCTCATCCTCTTCCTCTCAACCCCCTTTCCGTCTTGCTCAGCTTCCGCACGCGCTCTTC